TTTTTTTTTTTTGGGGGGGGGGGTGTCAGGATCGACTGAATTATACCATGAATAATTCATGTTTCTCAAAGGAAAAAAGGTGCCAAATAGATATTTCTAACTTACCTCTCCGATTAACAGGATCCTTAGCTACATATGCAACATAGTCAGTTGTATCCTGTCAAAAAATTAAGATATCTACAATGAATGCAAAAAATCTTTGCACTTATCATAGCAAAAGATCACAGTCCAGAGTGTGCGTATTGCTGTGGGTAGAGCCTCAAATGACATGTTTTGCTCTACAGTTATACACTACTTAAACCCCATAAAAACATTTATGGTTTTTGGTACTGATCCCACCACTTTGCTTTCTCCAGAGTGATCTATCCCAGCAGAACTTAAAAGTGTCTTCCAAGGCCTTTGAAAATCAATTAAACAAATTTAGTAGGATTTGGATCAGGCCTCATTTAGAAGGGAGACAATTACAAGTCCTTATCATCAAACTACCCAGAGATTTTGGTTCAGAACATGAATAATCAACTGGTTCTGTGGCAGAAAGAGTAGGAGTAACAGCCCTGCTCCCCAGAAATACTGAGCAGTGGCATTTATTCATGTGTGACAAGCAGGTGTGTTTACTTTACTGACTACAATGCCATATGGCACAGAGGTGCTCAGCTACTGCTTGGCTGTGACAAGCAGTCTCCCAGGATGCTCTCCCCCAGCCCATGGGCTGCTCCCAGCCATCCCCATTGCCACATGCCAGGTGGGTTTTCTGGCAAGAGCAGGCTGACTTCTTTGGAGATCTTTTGCTTGCTTTCCTGCCACCCTCACGTTCCTGTGCACAAGCGGCACAGACTTTTATCATTGTACAGACGAAACAGAAAGGCCAGTGCTTCCAGGAAACGTGAGGCCTGCTGGCACATCTGGAAAATGCCATATATCCTTGACGCGATCACAAAGTCCTGGTTAGATCCGATATTTCCTGATGTGCCTGGCTAGTCAGGTATAGCTAAACCTAACTGAGGTATATATAGGATATGCTACAGCTGGCTACAGCATAAATCTACCCAAAGCCTTTTCGGGGGACTGATCCAAGACCATTGACAATTATGTCAAGATCTAATGTCATAACAACACCAATCTTCAGTTAAAAGACAGACTTCTTTAGCTTAGCTTTCTCTAGTGCAAGTGCACACCACCACCACCCACCCAAAACAAATCACTGTGCTGCATGTACACACAATCTCCTTCCTAAGGAGAGGGCAATGGAAATGATGAAGCACATTCATGGTTCTCGTGACAGATGTGTAGCCACATCACTTAATGCACTATTGGGAGGCACTCAGACACAGGAGTAATGAGGTTGGTCTGTAAAAAAAGCAGAGCAGAGAAGAATAGCCCTAGCATTTTGTCCAGTAATTTCTTAAGCACCCAGTGACATAGTGTCTGGGCAATGACTTGCGTGGAAGTAATGATGCATATCAACAAGTAAGCAGACGAGAAAAGTGGTGATGTCTATAGTAGCAAATAAAACAGAGGCAAAGGTAAAGGCCTGAGAGTTGTCCCACAGTTGTCCATCCTGTTTAATTGTTGCTACTCTCCCTTGCCTGGCTGTGCTGGTTTCCCACGCCATGCTCTGAAACTCTCCGAGGGACCAGCACATGCTGGGCATTGATCCCAAAAGACCACTGGGAGGGAAGAGAATGAATGTGTGGATGTAAATTGCACTGTGCTGTTTAGTTTTGGGGCCAGAAAACAGGCCACAGATCATTTTATTTACTAGTACAGACATAGCTAATGAATACATTTATGCCTGAGTAAATCATAGATCTACCTTATAGCTAGCGTGGGTGTGAGAGACTGGAACCACCTACTCTTTATTTCATCTAAAGCTCCCAGATTCAAGTTGACTATGATAAACAATGAAGGACCTAAGGTGGGCACATTTCACAGTGGCTAAATTAGAAGACTCCCATCAAAAGGTGATACAGGGCTGGGCTGTTGCAGCAAAGTGGTCCCTGACATTCAAGGACTGAAGACAGGTATGAATGAGCTATAATTTTCTCCTCAAAGAAATTGCATTGTGGTGTTAAAATTTGGAGGCAGGGCTGAAACTGAAAAACTACTGCCTTCAGGGACTTCTGAGAGACCTGCCTTATTAGACCTTATGAGATCTGCCTCTCTGAAATTTCAGCAGGCATCTCCAAAAACAGATGTCTTGTCTAGCAGCCTGGAAACAGCCACCTGAAATGACTATGGATGAAAAATGTTTAGTGTATCATAAGGAGGGACTGAAGAGAGCTAAAGCAGATCCAGAACACAGTCTTGGAAGTGAACTAAAAATTATTCTGAAATGGTGTGTAAAAGGATTGGTGGAGAGATTTTTAAGCTCCCATGTACTGACACAGCCAGAAACTGTCTGACTCATTGCAAAGGGGAATATTGCAGAAATATATATGGTACTCAAGCTGTTCTCCAAGACTGTGGAACACTTCTCCAGTGGATATATTTTGAATGATTAAGGTAATTAACGCTTAGGGAGTGGGAAAAAAGTTGCAAAGCTAATTGCTGGCGTGAACGTGTGGCAGATGTCCAGAGCAGAAAAGTGGATGGGGTGAGAAGTGGGGGCAGTCTCGCTTCTAAATAAACCAAACTTCAAAATTCAAAATAAGGGAACTATTTCCTGAAGAAACAGGGGCACGGATCTGAGTTCCTAGTTCAGTACGGCCTTTCTCCATCCATTTTAAATCTCATATGAGGAAATGAGCTTACGGGCTGGAGCCCAACTGTGTTTGGGGGATACCGTTTGGTGGTGGCAGTCCTCCACCAAGTGGAAATCATTAAGGGCTGATGAAAGTTATGTCTGGATGACCCTCAGATGGCTTAATAAAGCTGTGACTTAAATCACATCCTTGCATCTTGTCTTCTTCCATGTGGATGCAGGACAAAGGAACCACCTGCTTTATGAACAAGCTTTTGATTTAAAGTTGTGCCAGATACTAGCCCACTGCGACGGGCCTGTAGAGCGTCATTAGATACTCATACCTACCCTCTCCACCCCCAGAATGAGATCACCATGCAGTGGTCTTATCTGGAACGCAACTTTACAATTTCACTGTCTCTTGTAGGCTCCCTTACACCATGCAGTTTGATTTCTCTGGTTGCTCACTGACTCAGTAGCATGATTTTTATCTCTCTAAAACATTTGGACAAGCTTGTTTACTCCAAATCCAATCTCTACTGCTGGTCCTCTCCTCTTTCCTGGTAAATCCCTCTATCAGTGGGCAGTGTGCAATGGTGTTTCCAGGACTTAGCATTTGGGATGGCAGATGGGGAACGAAGAATCTTCTTACGGAGGCAGGGAACTGTGCTAATCCCTCCTCTGCCCACTTCAGGAATTGTTCATTTACAGCATCCATTGCAATCTGTTGTATTTCAAAGCTGCTGTTGATCCAGTTTTTGTTCCCCAAGTTATTATGATATGGTGTCCTTTTCCCTTCTGGAACTGAACTGAGCTCGGCAGAGCTATACTAAGACTGAATTTTGCCCTTACGTTTTCTGAGGATAGTGAAACGAACAGAGAAAGTGCCAAGGATCTTCAACTTAACAGAGTTGAACTGAGAGAATTGACTCACAAAGCAGGCTAGAAATTGGCTTACCTGTAGTACATGACTGATAAATGACAGATAATCGTATGATGGAGGAAAAGGCAGACTCATTCAATTAATCTAGGTTTAAAAGCTTTCAAACGTCTAAGGTAAGAGGTGAGCAATGTCCCTGTTTTATAATTCTCCCATTGCTTCCTGGGTGGCCAATACTTTTTAAGTACATTTCATATGCCTTTGGATGGACTGCTTATAAAAACAGGGAAAAGCGCAACAAGCAGGAATCTGCCCTTTGATCTAAATGAACCAAATGTGTAGGTGTATCTGAAAGCTTTGCAAAACTAGAAAGAAAGATCTGGGCTTTTCCTGAAAGCCTGTCTTCAAGCTGCATGAGTGTAGTGAATATACCTGAAGGCAGTATTTAGCACAGTCTTCTGAATGTACACTTAAAGACGAGAAGAAAAAAAAATAAATGCATACTTTGCTATAAATATAACTTCAACATAGTCTATTACTGTAAAAAGTACAAAATAAAAAACAGTCAGGACAAAAATTCACACGATACCCATATGACTATACTACATTACTCTGAAAAACAGAGCCCTGCTTATCAGTTATTATATGAATGCTCACAGCCCTTTGATACTTTTCATTTCAGTCATTCAAAGAGAAGGATTTATAACTGCTTGTCAGTCGTTTCCCTCAAAAAGAGTTTGATAGCAACAATCGAGAAGAATTTATGAAACAAGAAACAGGAGCTATTGTGGTTGTATTTTTCTTTCAGTAAGCTATGCAATAAATTTTGTCACACAGTTCTCATAAAGCAATATCTACGTGGGGGAAAGCTTTAAAGAAATGCTTACCGGATCACCTCCAGATGCAAAGGAAATAGATTGCATATGGTGATTTGCTATGATCTGTATGGATCAGAAAGAATAAGTGTGAGTCAGTAGGTTTTCTTACAGTTTACCCTTTTGATTTCTTCTTTGGTTTGTATGGGGATGAAAATCCAAAACCAAGATCAAAATGACCTCTGCATTTCACCTACAAGGAATGCAAAGGGTAGCATGATAACATAAACAAACTTGAGGATGAATGTATCTGTTTTGGTGTTCTTTAAAACCTAGCAGGACACAGCAAAATTGCTAAATGTGCTCAGAACCCCAGTAAATCATATAGTTCTGTCATTCGGTATCTTTGGAGAAATTTTAACCTGCTAAAGCTCACTTTCTTTATTACAGATAGTGATGAATGGAGCAAAGGTCCTATTCATCAAAACACTTTTCTGCTGATGCCACTCTGGTGAAATCAATGAAATCATGCCAATCTGCACACCAGCTAAGGATCCTAACATTGCTTCCAATACCTACTGTGTCATTGGATGTTTCAAACACCAACATGTTTGCAATATGCAAACAGAATTTTGAATCTAGCTGCAACGTAGCATTGTGGACAAAATCTCAGGCATACTCCAGGGCATTTGAAATTCAATTTGCTTATGTACAATTTGAACTAATACGATATGTCTCTGGGAAGAGACAAGTTGTTATGAACCTCTAATACAAGCAGAACAGCTCTGCTCCATTGCTATTCTGAGATTTAACTTATGAAATCTTTTAATAATGAAACCGTGTAACGACCAAGAAAGAAAAGGTCATTTGAAAGAAAATTTCACTTGATCATTGAGTCACAGAAACCATGCCAAGGAATTCATCTGGTATAGGACAGGCTCCTTATTTAGTGCCTCAGAGCATGTGATAATAGTCATTTGGATCTTAATTGGTAACTTTGGAGAGGGTACCACGTACTTTAGAAAAACATTTTGGAAAAAAATGATGCTAAAAAGATATTCTCTGGGCTGTTTTCCCATCCTGCATCTTAAAGACCTGAACTAGCAACTATCTCCCTTGGAAAGAAAAAAGCCTGACATATGTTTCTCTGGATCTTGCTGCTTCACCAAGTCAGAGAGGGTTGACAACTATTTTTAGTGTTTCTTTCATGTAAAGCGTGCTTCATTTTCAATACTCCTACTTGTCCCACAGCAGCCTTTGAAGATGTGGTTAATTTTTAAGTGTTCGGTGGTGAACCATCATTCCCTTACTTGTCAGTGATGATTTCCTTCTCTTTTTCCCATAAAGAAGAAGCGATCCAAACAATAGAGATGAACTAGTAAAGATTTGTTACACATTTAATATTGTCACTATCGTGAATTGTGCAAATAACCCGATCTTTTAGTTCAGTGTCATAAAAAATAAAAATTATTTCAGATTGCCTCAAAACTTATTTTTCCAAATTTTAAGAATACTGAAAAGTACTTGAAACCATCAGTTCAGGTCAGATGCTTTTTTGTTGTTGTTGTTAATTCCACACCTAAACAGTTCAGTTTAGTTTGAGGCAGGGGTATTTCCCCCCACCCACCCAATACCAAAATATTGAAACAAGGCAAGGCAAATTACCAATGCCTTGCATTGCTTAAAATGAAATGATTCACTAATGTTGGCACATAGTTTAGAAACATTTCAGTCTACCCAAATCTGCATTTTAAACAAATAGACAAAACAAAACAAATCAACTTCCACTCATCCCTGCTTAACATGTTCACAAAACTGTTGTGCAGGGGTACAGGCAATTGCTTTCCTGCTACCCCAAGGGCCAACAACACTGTCTTGTCTTTTCTTTCCTTCCAGCGCCTCTGGGAAAAAGAGGCTATTACAGAAGTTCACAGCCATCTTCCTGGGTGGGGCCTCAAAGGGCAAAGCTGCTGAGCCATGCTTATTTTCAGATGAAATGCTTAGCACAAACAAGAAACAAGGGAGACCACAGCCAGACTGGGGATCTCTGAGAAACCAGACGTTTCCCAGGCCTGCAGCACCCAGACCAAGTCTCTCTCAAAAAGAATGATGTGAGAGAAAGATAAACAGTTTGTCAACTCAGAGAAAAGGCAAAACATCTGGGGGAGGATTCTTCCCAGTTTAACTCCATTTCTACTCTGACATCAGCTGAAGACAAGGCAACTTTCAGGGTTTGGCACTCTTTTAGTAGATCTAATTAACATCAAGTTCCTATGCTTCTGACTGGGGGCAACTGTCCTTATGAAAAGCTCTGCTGTGTATATCCCATAATAAGGCTCCAAACTACTGCAACCAGCCATAACGCGGCTCCCACAGTCTCAGTGCTCACTGCAGAAGATGATGATGTTTTCTAAATAAGGATAAGAATGAAGATACATCAATGAAAACATAATCATAAACGGCAAGCTTTTTAATAGACAATGTATGTATTCTCTCTCATTCTTTAATCCTGAGGCTCCTAAGGACAGCAGGATTTTATTTTTTTTTCTCTCTAGCTGTATCTGGGCAGAAAGTTGCGTGCCCTAACGCAGTATGTGGCTCACAGCAAATAGCACAGCAGTGACTACGCATGTCTGTCTGCTTCCTCTTTATATATACCCTGAGCAAGGATTTTTCTCATCTCATACATCATTCACAATCCAATGCAGTGATTCCCCAAAGTCTGTCTGTACCCTCAGCACAATGAAGAAGAAGAAATGGGCTGTTTGAAAAAGGCTGCCTTGTCTCTCTAAAAGACTGACGTTTCACTGCAAAATCCCCGAGGCTGTATTTTTAGCAGCGTCTCAGGAATAGATCGCCCTTTAAGGCTCTAAATGGGAAGAACAACAACAAAATTGGGGATGCGCATTCAGTCCTTTAGTCACTTACTCCAAATGCATCCCTTTTAACACTCTGAAAGTTTGTAATTGTACCCAACAAGAACTCCCACGACCAGAAAATACCATTTCATGTTGTAGGTCTTTTAAGAGCAAAACCGAGCTACCTGAAACGTGGCAAGAAAATAATTCATCAAAGCTGTGTTGAATACTGGAATAAACTATGACTCCTACTATGCTTTATATTCTGTTTTCTTTCATTTTATAGACATATTTGAAGAATAATAACTTTGAGCAACTGAGTATTTTGGCAGACACCAAATAATTGTGCAGTAGGCTGTTCATCAAAAGCCTCACAAATTAATATGGCAGTTAGACTCACCTGTTTTGTATCAGGAGTCATTAGGTTTAAGCTGGTGGTGGAGATATTCAGCATTATGCTCATTCCTGCAAACTGAAGATTGCTCTTTCCCAAGATGCTAGAAAGAACTTTGCTTGGTGGCTGTGAGGGGGGAGAAAGAAAAGCACGTTTTTGTTCTCTGTTTATGTGGGATGACCTTCATTGTATGCAGGGTTAGCTGAAACCTTAAAGGTTTCTAAAAAGTTGCTGACTTTTCAAAGATCATTTTATTGCAACAGCTGTTTTCCTCTGGAGATAATTTCTCATTCCTCCTCCTCCTCCTCCTCCTCCTCCTCCTCCTCCTCCTCCTCCTCCTCCTCCTCCTCCTCCTCCTCCTCCTCCTCCTTTTGTTAATAATAATAATAATAATAATAGCAGCTAGAAAGTATTCATTTACTCTTGACCTAACAAAATAGGGGGGTTGTGAGATAGCAAAGTCTCTTCTTCACCAAGGGACCAAGTGAGCAGACTAAGATGAATGCCTTAAGTCAATATCTTAAAATGGCATGTTCTTATTCTGTAAAAACAGCTTCAGCTCCTGAAAAGAAATCTGTTGTTTGCTCTGCATCTAGTGACTACTCTACCCCCTTCCCACATGGAAAGTGGGACTCCAGTGATACTGATGGGATGCTCAGAAAAAGGGATACACAGTGTCGTTATGCTTGCAGACTTCTTAGCAGTAGGTAAAAGCCCAGCCATAGGCTAAAACCTCCATATGCTGCGGTACAACATGCAGCTAAAGATTACTCCTAACTCAGAGAATAAGTACAAAGTGTGGGAATGTAATAAAGGGGATGTAATAATATTGATAACTTTTGTGAGCCTTTCACTAGATCTTAGGAGGTTTTGTAGCAATACAAGTTATGCTGCCAAAGCAAAATTTACAAACTTCTCACCTTTGACAGCTACAGGGAAGCACACAGCTGCATGAGAGCAGCCTCATTCAGGTAACTACAGCCTGTACAAAATCAGGCTGCCCAGCAATGACAGACCAAGTCCTTCCACTTGCTGTACTTGCACTGGTGAATATTTATGCTGATCATTAGGATGTAAAAACAAAGCTGTGACTGGAGGCAGTGTTCTTCTGCCATTGTATTTGCTTTTGTCCTGAGCTGCCTGCAAGCTTGGAAAGTTTTCTCCCTAGCAGGATGGACAGACTTGTGCTTCTTTACTCCTTAAAGCTTACTTATATTCAGTTTTAGCTTCTTTTCCTTCTGTTTAACTGATTAAAAATACACTACGTACTTACTGTTCGTATGTAACATTTGCGCCGCACTATTTTAACTTCATCATGTTACAGAACTAGTATTTCATTAACTTCTCTTTAAAACAAGCCTTTTTGAATATTCTTGTTTCTCTTCTTTCCTTAAACCCTCATGATTCCCAGCTCATGCCTAAGGATCACCTGCCCACAGTGTAGGTAAAGTGTGAAAACTTGGCCTCAAGAAGCACATGTCACCTTAACCAAATTCATAAGCCACTAGTGGCAACAACATGGTGAAAATACAGCCTGGCAAAAGATATCTGTCTTTAACATGTATCTGAAATTTCGTTGCTGGGCAAATTTTCTTTTCAGCCAGTAAACTTACTTTAAAAACACTATTTCCTTTCAATAACTGATAAGCAACATTGCTTCTAAAACCAGTAATACAGCAAGGTGTCTCACTAGGCACTTGGGACTCTGTTTAACCTACTTTTCCGATGATATTTTGCGTCACTTTGCTTTCCAAGGAAAAAGATATTTTCCTCTTTTCTTTCAGGTTTGAAAACAAAAGCCAGAGAATCTAGAAATGCCAATGAGATAAATTTGGTGGGGGGGAACCACAACCTTAATTTCTGAGGCAATTTCCAATTATGCTGTGACATACGTTGTCACATATGCCTTATTTTACCAGGGGGAAGATTCTCCATTGCAAACAAGTGGCATTTCATCCCATCCCTTTCTGCTGGGATTCTGCCTAGGTGGTGGAGCAGCTGGGGAAGCAGGCAGACCTTTTCCTTCACCTGCCTGTTCTCCTCCTGTGCCCAACAACACACACGAGGGCTATAATTAATTGCTTTCTATGCTACTTCCCTTAGAGTTAGCATTAAATCCCAGCTTTGCCAGCAGGCCCCTGGAAAAGCAGGTAGTACAGGAGCCGAGCCGAGGCTTCCTCCACTCCTTCCTCCTAACTCCTACCACACAAATAAGAATAAAAGCATGGTAATAACCATACCAGGTCAATGCCCACTGGACCCGCTGTCAGCGCTGGCCACTGAGCATCAGCCACAGGTGTTTATGGAAAGAGCATAGGGAACAGAGGATCACCTGGTATGTTCTGTCCATTTCCAGAAATTAGTGATTCCAAACTCATTAATCGTCACCAGTAAAGCTATGCTCCAAGGACAGATCTAATCCCTTTCAAAACTATGTATATTTTTGACCTCTGCAATAGCTTCCAGCACCTATTTCCACAATTTACTCGTCCGTTTTATGAAAAGGCATTCCTTTTTGTTTAAGCCTTCCACCCGCAATCTACAAAAGAGAAAAGAAAAAGGAGGGGCTTTCTACAGTAGGAACAAAAAGACAAGCCACAATCTTTTCCCTAGATGTACTCATACTTCTAGATGCCTATAAAAGCAGATCCTGACCAAAAGGGCAAGAGGCAACATACAGTGGGTGAAAACAGCCAATACTTTAAATGATTAATGATCTGCAATTCTCAAAGCTGCTTTAAAGTCACCTGCCTGCTGTGCCTCGTCCCCTCTGTGTTGAACTAAGAAAATACAGTCAACTGCACTACAAGAAAAGAAAAATACCTTTCGTTTCTTAAAGGCTCCTTTGGCACCAGGCACGGCTTCACAAACACGACTGATTGCTTCCCTGAAGAGACAGAAAAAAGCTTTATGGCAAATGAATGTGTGGGTTTCTTCATTATACTTGAAATGGACTGGGAGAGAACAGCTTCAGACCGTATTTCTGTTCACGAGTGAGGATAATTAGCTGGTCAGTTAGCGCTCTTCTCAAGGCTAAAACAGGTGCCATTCAAATTTAGATTACTTCAGTGTGAAGCAGAAGACAGTAAGCAGTCAATGCTAGTGTAGCAAAGAGTATCCTGAGAACTACAAAGGATAAAAATGTTTTCTCGTGCTATTAAAAAGACCTTTTCTCACCGTAAATTAGAATATTTGTCTTAATACCTCCTTCCAAGTCTCATTTTTGTATCTCATTAAGCCACGAGGAATCTGATCATAAGACATCTTTAATCAACATTGCTTTACACCTTTTTTTTAAACCCTTCTTGTAACGTAAAAGGGTAGTAAATATCATTTTTCTCACTTCTATACTATGCACTTTTACAGTCAGAGCAAAACAACCTGGCTTTAGATAATATTAGAACCCTAAAATATTCCTGGTAATGTGCATGTTGTATACAATACATACGATGTACAAAATTTTAATTTACATTTGTTCAGTATGATCTGAATAATTTATTTGTGGCCCTATTTTTACATTGTAAGCAAAATTAATGCCATTAACATTTTACTTCAGTTTTCTAATATTGCTTCATTCTTCCCATCACACTCAGGTTGAATGAAAGAAATGCATGTTGAAAATTAATTTGAATTCATACTCTCTCATAGGAGAGTAACTGTATACTACAAAAGCTCTTTAAATCATACTGCTACAAACAAATCTTATACATCCTTTCAGTATTCAGCAACTTATTATTTGAATAGTCAATCTGGTGAGTATTTAGAATTTGCTCCCATGCACACAGAAACCTTCCTGGGACCATTAGCTACAATGCTGTAGCAGACCTGTCCCATTGATGCCGTAAGACAGAACGGTTGCACAGGGACGAGTAAAGGTGACTCCAAACCTTGTTTATCTGTTTTAAATATGGATTGAGACTAACAGAACATTATATTTAGAGCTAAAACCATGCAAATAACATGTACTTTATGCAAAAAAAAAACCCAAACAGAATGGGAGACAATGAACTACAAGCTAAAGAACAGTCAAAATAATAAAAACCTTGAAACATCACCTTGATAAAAACATGTTATTTTAATTTTATGCCGTGTGCAGGATGATACTTCAACTATGCATTAGGTGAATGCTCAGGATCAACAAGCGAGTCAGGAGAGAAATGTCATATACCTATCAGCATTCAACATAAAATGGCTCAGCAAATGTCACAGATTTATCTGGCTGCAATCAGTAATCACTATATAGTTATGCCTTGAGTGTTTTTACCTAGGGCCCAATCCAAAGTTTGAATCACCTGAAAGAATCGCATGAATTTATTATTTTTTGCAGGTGGGTGGTTGTGGGGGTGGAACAGGCCTTGCAGCAGGTTTAAAGTCCTGTCACTCTGAAGAAGTGTGAGATTTATACCTTTCAGGCACACAATCCTTTCTTCAGGTCTAGAGGGGACCTTGTTTGTTCCACAGCTTGTCTTTTTCTTTTTTTTTTCCCAACTACATCTGCTCATCTAATAAAATTGCCTCTCACTACAAACCCTGCCTTGCATATGCCCTCAGACCATCACAGCTACAACCACACTCCATTTCACAGCTCAGCACTTGTATTTAGTTCCCACATCTAACACAATGCTTCTTTGACTCCAAACAAGTGTTTTAGTTAAAGTAGCTACTAGGTTTTTTTACAGAGCAAGTAAAAATTGGTTGGTTTAAAAGAGCAGCCCTGATGCATCCTAGAAATACAGTGCAGCATCACACACACTGATCATCACGATACTGAGACATAGGTTACTCCTGAAAATGTAATCAGGAAAAACAAATATTCTCCTTCTCCACCAAAAATGCTTTTCTTTGAATCAGGAAAAGCAAAGAGACATTATGTTATACAGAGCCATCCCGTCAGCCTTGCTACTGAGCTAAAACTTGTGGTTTCCCATCTCTTTCTTGCGCCAAACCAAATCCTTTGGAGGCAATGAGGTAGGAAGTCCAGGCCTGTGGCAGTCCCTAGCCCACCGCTGTCTTTCAGATCCATGCCTTTTTCTTCCCCAGGTATGTCTGACCTTCCCAGGTATTTTGGCTGCAAATTGCTGACACAGAGGCATCACCAGCACTTCATCCTCTTTGTCTCCTCCAGTGGTCTGATTAGCGCATTGAGATCCCTCATAGGTTTTGCATCTCACAAAAAGGATTTGTGTTTCAGAGATACGAACTGTGCTTGAGGAATAAATTCACCTGTAACTTCCTTTCTCTTCCTATTTGCCTCCACCATCTTCTCTCTCTAGCAGCAACATGGAGCAGGTGGGAAGAAAAGGGATTTTTCACGCCACCACACCTGACAAAAAACGTTTACAAGCTTGTTATTTTTCTGGTGCAGGGCTGGGATTTGTAGTGGTTTTACTACTACCTCTTCTGCCTGCCAGTTCCAGATAATCAGACATAAAGCGTGTTACTGAATAGACCCATCTGACTCAAGGACCTTGTTGATCAAAACTGCCACTTGAGCGTAGGAGAGGAAATGCACCAGCTGAAGAGGCTGAAGCCCAGGGCTGAGGGTTGGCAAGGCAGCCTTGGTTACTGTTTGTACGCCCCTGCCTCAGCAGAGCAGGGAAAGCACTAAGCAGCTGAAAAGCTAGGACATACATCCTCTCACTCACTAACAAAGCGCTATAGATTTTCCAACTACCTGTCTTCCTTTTAGTAAAATATCTCAGTTTTACTGAACTCAGTGTTCCCAAAGTCTGCAGGAAGACTGGAAGTGGGGGGAAGGACCTGAGAAAGGTGACAGCTTGTTGAGATACACATCAGATGAGGCAGGACGTCAGAACTTGAATTTAACAATTCTTTAAACTTCGGTTTTGAAACTCTGTGAATACTAAATGTACTCAAGCAACTGCAGGGTTTAAGTTAACAATGCTTTTGGTGAAAATGCTGGGAACTTCAGAATTCTGCCTAGGAAAGGTCAGAGCGGCCTGGCAGCAACTCTTTGTGTACCTGCAACAAAAGGCACAGTACTTTTCCCACCTGGGAGTTAAGGAGTCTTAAAGAAGTATCTGATGAAAACAGGACGAAAAAGGATGGCTGAATATCTGCCACCGCACTGATATGCACGTTTTCCAGGGGAAGGTTCCTGGATCTCTCTGTTCAGAATATTCTAGATCCTTTTTGGGAGGGTCTTTACACAGATAGCCTGGTAATGTGGAAAAGACATGCTCAAGACTTCTTTCTAGCTTGCATTGCCAGGCAGCGTAGGGCAGACGTAAGCTTTTTTTGCAGCAAATCAAATTTGCAAATGCCTCTGCAGTACGAACACCTGAGCCACAAATCAAACCCAGAAATAGATATTGCTGCTAGGTTGAGAGTGCCGTACCTGACTTGTGCATGCAAATGCTTGTCTAAGGAAGGCAAAAGCAGTAGTTCTGGACATATCTGCATGGCTAAACAGTTGCACAGAGTCTGGAAAAGTTGCCTGTGACTACATTTGCTTCCTTTCCAATAAGAAAGTTATTCGACATAGACACATATTACACCTTTCTAAGGCACATGCTGTTTCATTAGCTAGGCTCAGATAAATACCAGTGTAGAGTTATCTTGATCTCTTGTAAAATTAGCTACTGCACTGTCTGCAGTAGGGACCACATGCTGAGTTCCAAATCTGTCCAAGAGTATTTTCTGCTTTACAGATGGTCATACTGTGGAGTCATTTTCTTGGCACAAAATATGTTGTGTATTTGGAATATAATTTCAGCATGCAAATGTATCCAGTGAAAAATTACCAATATGCATTTTCCGAGGCTGACCTATTCTGCTTTAAAGTGACACGACATCTCTCTGAGACAGAAAAAAAGACATTTTACATTGCCATTTTGTTCCATTAAAAAGGCTAATGCCCTGATATTTTTCATAGCTTTAGTCATATTTTACTCTGACTGTTATATAAAGTAGCCCACTCAGGAAGCTCAAATCTGTTCCTCTATGAAACACCATCACATGAAAATACCCTCCCTTCTTGTTTCAATGATAATCTTGGCTGTGATACTAGGTTTTGTTATTGCTGTTTTTAATTAATACAATTTAATTGATTAAAAAACAGAATTCTGGAACTCAACATTTCAGGGAAATGACAGGCACATACAAATTGCACAGATTTTCTCAACATCTTTGGAAAAAGTATAGCCATCTCAAATATTGAGACGAGAAACTGTGACTAGTTTTTAGCGTGAAATGTGTTGTATGACAAGACTCAAAAACTACCAATATTCTCTTGTTAATATCTTCTAGTCTTCTATAGTTCCCAAGTTTATCTTTGCCACCTCCAAAGCGTAGGGCTTCACAGGTTAAAAAAAGAGACATCAAAAGATGGACTTTTTAAATGAAAGCATGACATGTCTAGCAGAATTGTACAGAAGGCTCCCAGTTATTTCTTAACTGTATTATATTCCTGACAATTTTAAAAATAATTATAAATCATTACCAAGTGTTGTACCAGTATTTGCTGAGGAGAAACAAGGTCTATACCAAATATAAAAATAACTTGCTGCTGAAAAAGAAAAAAACGGAGACCAAAAATACATTTTTAGAAATCCATTTAATAATTGAAATATTATTTGTTCATTTGCAAAACAGACAAAATGAGCATGTGCTGTCTGAAGTAGCACAAAGGACATTCACAAGCTCTGAAGGCTAAACCAGTATACTACTGTTTACAGAACTTTAAATGCCAACTGCAAATTGACCATCTCTGGAAGATGTAAGGCTGGAGAAGTAGCTAAGGAAAACAGAGCAGAGAATATGGATAGGAAGAGTAGGCTAACTGCGTGGCGTGGATGGGCCTGCTGCCTCAAATTCAGAGTACCATGCGGGGAGTACCCCGGCAGGGGAGCCCCCCCAGAAAGTGGC